TTGAGGCTAACGGTAATAATTCGTTCACTGCCGTATCAACACTACAGCCAAACTTAGTAGATAAACGGCATTGAGCTGTTTCATCGTCAGTAGCAATTCTAAGCAAGATCCCACATTCGGGATGGTATTTGTGCAATTTGTATAATTCCTGAGGATTATCAACTGTTGTCAAATTAACGTTAGAATCATTGGCGTATCTAATGTAAGAATTGGTCTTACAAGGATTGGCATAGACAATTCTATCTGGAGAAAACCCCAATCCTAACACAATGTCAATTTCATTTTTTGAAGCGCAATCAAAATTTGCACCTAATTGTCCCAATAACTTGATCACAGATAAATCAGTGTTACATTTAACAGCATAGTAAGCATGAACATTAGGTAATGTTTCCTTCCATTTCATATAAGAACGATAAACTTCTCCTAAATCAACAACAAAAAAAGAGTCTTCTTCCCCTGCTTCGCATACTTCGTGGTCAATAGTAGAAATATGGGTTGCTAACGCTTCTCCAATTAACTTTTTAGAAAATTCTGGGCCAATTGCCTTGACACCTGAACTTTTAGTACATCCTTTTAACATAGAATCATATGTGAGGATTTCATCTTGGTATACCTCAATCGATGGGGTCATAACTTGGAATCTAGTGGTTTTCGAACTTTATAAATGAAGCGAAATGTTTAATTCTCTAGTATTAATATGGATAGTATGATATATTCCAGTGGTAATATTCACACACAAAGATTTTAGACTTTTTACGGGCAATGTAGACTAATCAAATGAACTCACGATATTTGTGAGTTAATGAATTATTGGACTTCAAGCGGCAGCTCTCGTAGTACAAAACAATACTTTGTCAAGGAAGATGATGTGTAAGCAAACAAGTAGCTTCTCTTTCAAAATAATCTAACAATCAGTTAAAATATATATTTATTTAGGAATAAATTGCTAAATTCTAGATAAATGGTTGAAAATTTTTCAAGATCTTGGGTTGATTGCGATAAAAAAAATTAGGTGCGAAATTGAGATCGATATAGGGAAGAGGCCCTTAAAAGGATTGCATGAGATGTGTATATTATTTAAAAAAGTAAACCTACAATTCAATCAATGGCTCCTCTACCAATTTACCCTTTCTATCAGTTTCCTGACTAGGTTGACCAAATTGGGGCATGGATGGCATTGATGGCACTTTATTATCATCCTGACCTCCTGTATTGGTAGTTTGCTCTTCAGAGTTAAGCTCATTAATCGAGGGAAACTTAGCAGCAGCATGATCTTCTGCATCATCATCATGTTCAAAAGGTGGATAGGATGGTTCTGTAGGCAAAGAAGGATTGTAGTTTGGTTGTGATGGAGTGTTCTGATTGAAGGATCCATTTGAATCTTGAGGCGGATACGTAGACTCATAAGGGTACGCGGACACATTTATATTACTCTCACTTTCTTTTTTAGATGAATAGTATGGTGACATTCCATTATCCTGATTGGTTTGGGGTGTCTCCAGATCAGATTCTTGATAATATGACGGATAAAACGAAGTTGGAGGTGGTTCTTGTGGATGTTGAACTGTATTTTGCACAGATTCTGACGCTGGTGGTTGGTTTGATGGCTCAGAAGCTTGACCAATTTGGGGATAATTATTGTACCCAGTAGGTTGTTGCGATAAACCAGGTGATGAGTAATTTCGGAATTGCAGTGGGTTCTGCTGGTATTGTGGAGACAGAGCTCTGTGGTCTACCGGATATGGGATATATTCGTTAGAAGTTTGGCTAGGATAAGGTCCTTGAAATGATTGATTTGGCCCACCGTAGGGAGATGAGATTGTATGATTTCCATACGCTTGGTTCAACTTAGATTCTAAGAATTGATCATATAACCTGCTGATAGTAGAAATTTTATTATTTAGCTCTAAGCATGTTTCGTGCTTCTCAATAGATGCTCTTAACGACTTATTCAATTTTGGTTTTAATTGGATTATCTTACCGTGTAACTCACTCAAATTAGAATCATATAAAATATTTGCTTGTTTGGATGGATCACTCTTGATGTTGTTCATAAGGGTGATGAATAAGTTGATTGATTCTTCTTCTTGTTGGCTTAAATCTTCAACTTGAGGTTTCAAATGATACTGCTCAGCATGGTTAGCAGGTGCCATTTGGGGTTGTTGACTTGGATTTTGGTTTTGATAAGATGCGTCCTGTTGGTCGAATGGCAAAATATGCCTATAAAATTCAGATTGTGGTTCTTGATATCCCTGTTGTGACGCAGCCGGCTGTTGTTTGTACATTTTTTCTTGTTGTTCAAACTCTTTCAAACTAGCTGCAATAGCTGCCTTCATTTCCTCGTCCTCTTCTTCAGCTGCATTATTTGCCACGACCGGTGACGGTGATCTAGGAGGTGGTATTTGGTTGCTGACAGGAACTTGGGTTTCCCGCAAACTCAATTCAATTGCTTTCCTTAGTTGTTCGTCTTCATCATCTAAATCTTCATCTGTTGGTTGAGATGGAGTTTTCTTATGCCTCACTTTGCTCAAGTGCTTACTATTTTTCGATTTTATCTTTTCATAGCAATTATCGCAAACTCTAACTGGCTCCATGATCCCCAAAGCAACTAATGGGGAGTTATGAGACGAATGAGTTTGACAGTAAACACCACCGCATGATCTACAATGATGCTTTCTATTCATCAATGAAAATGGATTATAACAAATCATGCATTCGTTACTATCGATCCAATCTGGTGGCGCCTCCGAATCAATGAACTTATTCGACAATTGGCCTCCTACTTCCAGTTCTGGGAATTCGTATCCTTGATTCATTAATTGATGATAGCTCCTCTCAACGTAATTCAACAGTGTCTGATTTTCAAACACTAGCGTCCAGTCCTTAATCAACGATAAGATAAAACTTCCTACTTTATATTTCGCTTCATTCTCTATTACATATGAGTCCTTAGTGTTGTAGTGAATCTTGAATATATAATCGACTAGGTAATCAATAAACTCTTTACTGCTCAACTCAACCAAAAAGTGATATCCTCCATTTTTAACACACAAATCAACCAACTTCAAAGTCAGTGTAAGCAAATTTGGATTGGAATGGGTAGTAGTCAACCGTTTTTTCAATGATCTCATACATTGCTTGGGTGGTATTTTCTTACTTCTAATCAAATCGGTGATTTCTAAGGCAATGGCCAAATCAAGTTCGCCATTTGGAATCGATTCAGATGTAGCCTCATTAATTTTCAGCTCTAAATCAGCAACCGGTACTGTGCTTCCACTGAACCATGACATGCCTATCAATAATACTTGTTATGTTTTTTATAAAACTAGTCCCGCTAAAGGGTTGATATCCTTCGTTATCAGTGATCATAGAAGGATACCGAAAATGAGTGCGGCACGCCACTTCTACAGAAGGCTATGGACTAACAGATAATTGTGTATAAACATAGTAAAAGAACAAAAATGATACGTAGAGGTTATAATACTATTAATCATGATGGTGATATCATTGGGCGAAATTTAGCCACTTAATGTAAGAAAATAACGGCGGAGCCAAGACCAATTCCCGCAATAGCAGTCCACCACCAGAACTCGTACTTAGCAGACGAGGTTTCAAGTCTAGCGTTGGTCCTATATTGGTTTTCTAACGATCTCTTGAGTCTCTTTCTTAACGAGGACTTGGTTTCGGAAGCTGAGTCAGTTGGGTTCAACGCACTTGTTGGTAACATCATTGGAGGCTTGTAGGCCAAGTACAATGGCTGCATTGGAGAACCATCAAATTGGTAGACTTGCAACTTACGTCTTCCGTTGTAGGAGTCAACCATGACCTGGAACTTCTTGAACCAGGTCTTTTGTACGTACCTCGAGTAGAGCGAGGTGTCGCTCTCAGTATCCACACCACATGGATCGCTCAACAACTGTCTTCCATCCACAGCAATAGGGGTCATAAATAACGATCCATTACTCTTTATTTCGTACGTGCCGTGTTGGTAAATCAAAGTGGCTGTAGGGCACGAGTGATTTTGTGGATTCGATGTCACTCTGTATAATGCCTCCTCATAGTGGCCATCTTCCGTAAAAGAGTACGAAATTCCTGGCAAATCTGGCTCGATCAACAATTCAGATACGGGGTCATAAAAACCTGGCCCTGTAAACACGGTATTCGATTTGGATGTCCACGTACCAACCAACTCCTTCATATTTTCTCCCAACACCTGGGCACCAAGTATGAAAAACGTCACTAAAAATGAAAAAATCATCATTCTGTATTTATATATTATTTTAGTTGTGCTTTAGTTCAATTTTACTATATCACTTTGTGATTTGATTACTTTCTTGTTGTTCCAGCTTTTCTTTCGTCAAACAGCAACTAGTAGTACAATAAACCAAATTAAATTTAATATTTCTAAAACTGTCTCAAATTTCGTACAATAAATTTCGCTTCACCTGCTAATGAATGCTGACAAGTAACGGACGAATCTTTCTTTAAATAACGATATAAACGACGGTTATTACTTAAAAACTACTTATTCCTTATTTTTACTTGATTTATTGACATGAACATCGCGATTTTAGTACTGTTTAACACACACGCAATTTTTTTTTCTATTAGTGGCAGTGTTTTTGAATTCGATCTAGGGGACTTATGAAATAAATTGACGAGGTATACAGAAATAAAATGTTAATTATAGTATAATAATGTAAGCACAATAGATATAGTCGAGTGTTAAGAGATTAAACTTGGTTTATATCTATAGACGTAGGAGGAGAGATAAAGGATACATAGATGTAAAATAGATGTAATTAGATGTAATAAGATGTAAATAGATGAAATAAAGATGGAATAAAGATGAAATAAGACGCAGATTAAGATAGGCGCAAATGGGAAAAGGGGACGGTAATAAATATTATACAGAGACAAAAGACAGGAAAATGATACCAAGTCAGAACAAGAACGGAAAAAAAATCACAGTAAGTAAATTGAAGCAAGAGTAATTATATATGAGAGTTATTAATGTAAATGCAAGTGGAAATGAATCACGGAGTGATAGGGGCCATTTGTCGAACCGCATGACGAAAGGATATGAGCAGTATGAATTGAGTTGGGAGGAGGAGCGAAAATGGAGACGATTTTGGAACGATTTGGGGGCCGATTTGGGCTTTATATTTGGATCAAGTTGGTAAATATTTGCTTTGTTTGTAGCTATGTGAAGCTAATGCTATGAGTGGTTGGGTGTCTGCAGGGTTATATGAATTCGGAGTGCTCGGTTGCTCCGTTGTCATCCAAGGACTCTGGCGAAGAAGGCTTAATGACAAAGTTGGTGGTATAGCGTCCTGGAGATGGATACGAATATGACGTGGAAATGGTGTTGGTCGAAGTGGGTGATGAGATCGGAAGAATGGTTGATGCCGTAGATAAAGTAGTTGATGATGCAGAAATAAACGTCTTATCGTTTGAAAATACAGGAGTATTCTTTTTGAAGACGGGAAATAACTCCTTAGGGAGTAGAGTCAAGTTTGTGGCCGGGTCGAGGGTGGATCCAAATGAGTTGGTGTAAATGTTAATGACAGTGTGGTGGAAATAATGGGGACCTCTAGAGTTGAAGTGATTCAATATGGGGTCGGACGCATTGACAATGGCCTTGATAAGATGCTGTTTGATAAACAAGTAGTCTTTTCTGGTGATTGAATGGCAGAGTTTGTCATGATAATAGCCTGTTTCTCGGATGTTTAGGATTTCATTGACCAAGTCGGTGACCACTCTGCACAAATCGAGGACACTGACATTCATGAGCGCAAATGAATAGACAGAAACGTATGAAATGAACCGTTTAACTTGGAACAATTCGTTTTGTTTCAAAATGCTGAATTCCTGAGATTGAACAATAAACTCTTCAATGGATGGGTCATTGAAAGACCAGTTTAAGGTTCGTAAAATATGCAATTCCATTTGCTTGAACTGTTTAACCGTATAATTACACTTCGTGCCACACAATTTGATAAATTCGTTGAGTTTAGGCATCCGGTACCTTTCTGTGGGACCTTTGAATTTACCACCAGCACCGTAACCCAAGTCATTAATAGTCTTTACCGACGCCAACTTTTCAACGTTGTTTAAATTGATGAAGTGGCTGTTACCTCCCCCAAACTTTGCTGCTATCCAAAGACATGTAGAAATAATCAATTGGGCTTTGTCAAGCAAGATGATTCTCTTGCAACAATACCTGTCAAAGATTTTTACTGCTCTATAAAATACAAAGGATAAAGCCTTCAATCTAATAGACATTTTAAATAGAAAATCAAGTAGTTTGAGTCTAATGGAGAAGGTTAAATAGGGTTGTTGTTGGAATGCTTCAATGTTTGGTATGTTTGTCTTACAAGAATTAGCCAATGCCTCGTATATCTCATCTCGGTATTCATCAACTACTTGCTCATGTTGTTCCAATTCCGATGCATACAAGGTTGAAGAATAGTCCTGGAGGGAAAATTGACCGAATGTTGTATGTGATGAAGCATATCCATTGTGCATCATGAGAGTTCAAGAAGCTATAATCCAGAACAAATTATTCCTCGATGAAAAGATATCACTACTAACAAATTATTTCAAGAAGGAATTGGCATACTTATATAAGTGCATATCTTTTAATACCGAGTTACGAGATGACCTCAGATAATGCTATTATTCATTCGGTCTCCTCGCACATATTATGAGAGAATAATAGCTTCCAGACTTTGTGGTAATACGCCTAATACCGATTGGGATAACCCACAACAAAAACTCCATTCCTGTCCATGCCCACAATGCTACGGTACGTTATTCATGTTTTTTTATGAACACGCAGCAATAAACTATCGCTTAACGTTATCGCTAAAGGTCTATCCGAAGTTTGCGTGTTGACGCTATCTAGTTGAGACCAGACTAAGGGTGTCTGCATAACGTATACTCTATACGCACGTTCGCCTATGTAGGGGCTGAATAGGCTCACTTGTATTGCAATAGACTTTCTCGGAACTAACTGTCACTAACCGTCTAATTACCTCGGTATTAGCCTACATCTACCACGAGCATCTCTATTCTTTGGTCTTGATCAAACGGCATTTCTTCCAGTACAACCCATTCACGAAACTCAATTTCGCAGCCTCCCATTGTTCTCCATATTGTGTTTCAGGAACAGCTAGCCGAATTCGGCCAGCAGTTAAACGAAGTACGAATCCAGTTACTTACATACACGATTGGCACGATTGATATGAGGTGTCTTTAACGGTGGTGCTGGCTCATGCAGAAAGCACCTTAACGTTACTATTATTGAATAATCCGGGCCGTTAACGCTAACCTGATACTCTATTGGGCGGTGATGTTATCGGTGTTTAATCCATTGTTGTGGTAGCAATCACGCGATATTAATTCAAAAACGAACTAAATATGGAGCACTATTGTCACCTGCCAGCAGAAGTGGCCATAGATTCCGAATTTGCCATTTAGGGCCTGCCGTATTTTCAACGATGGGCACAAACATAACGTCTATTTTATTCGTACCTCATAAATGACAAAGTTTAACCGGAAAATTAGATGTTTTCCTCGCTTCCTACTAACGGTTTCTGTTTGCATCCATATTGGTTCGAAGGAACTCCGGTCTTGATAAAAAAATGACGATAAAGGCCTGTGAAAAGAGATAAAAATCCGACAATAGTATACATTGAAGTCTTAACCTGCAAACACTTGCAGCATTTTTTGTAACCTGCAAACGCTCTATTTTTCAATCGCGATCAACGGTTTACATAAACAAACACTAATGGGTATAACCACAATTCTAACCAAAAAAGCGTTATATCTCGATGGAAACCCCGAAAAAAGGTATAATAAGCAAGGCATTGTCGTCTATTTTTGGGCCCACGTCACCTTTGGCCAATGAACCTACTGTAGACTATGACAATACCATACAGACGTATCCAAGATACAATGAGGACACAATTAATACCCAAACACTGCAAAGACCGTATAGGGGTCAAAATACAGAAAGAATAGACAATTATGATAGACAGGACAAACATGATTTTTTAGATAAAAGGGGACGACTGAGTAGAGATCCACAGTATAAGGACTTGTTTAGTGACCATTATATAATTGACTCGCAAGTGCTTGATGATTCGGACGATGAGTTGAATAGAGACATTGACTATATTTTCAACCGGTATAATCACACGAACGACGTTGTGAATAATTTGCCTGAAAGAGTGCCCACAAGCTTGCCCACAAACATATTGAATAAAGACACACCAGGTCTGAGGACTGGGACGCAGAAAAGGCTACCTAATGATTACCCCGGACGATATCCAAGTCCACTGGCCCTGAAGGGGGAATTATTCGAACCCAAATACGTCGGAACTATTGATAGAGACATGAGAAATTTGGAAAGAGAGATCAATTTGGAAAACGACATCACCACGGCCCAGTTGAACGCAAAATATAACAAATACACCCCAACATACGCTGATAGAATGTACAAGGAATCCGGTGATGATAATCGAATGGCCACCAAGAATGATAAACGATTGCGCGAGATTGTCGATAGGGTTAGTGACAGAAATAAGTTTCTTAACGAGTTGAATGCGTACGTTGACCTAAACGACCAGGTTGAGGTACCCACTGATATAAGCGAAAAATACAAAGCATTGAGAGAAGAGTATATTAAGGAGCTCACTAACTGCCAAAACTTCTACAAGGCATATTACAAGTTGGTGTTCAAGTACCGAAATTTGAAGAAACAAATTTCGAGGTCGTCAACCACAACCATTCGAGAAAAAATCAACCTTATTAAGTCAACATCCCATCAACTGTCAATACGGATCATTTGTGATAATTTGTTGACTGAAGTGGACAAGAACGATAAAACGATAGCGCATTACCAGAATGAGTTGGCAATAGCCAACTCAAAAATTAAGCATTTAGAAGACAGGCTTGCCGAGCAGGGCCCGGCTAGCAATAGATAAAAAGTATAAAATAAGTATCACTTATATTAGTAAATATTACATTACATAATTCTTAGCATAACACTAAATTTACAAACATAATAAACCGGCAGCTAAGGCAGCAAGTCCGACACCTGAGACACCGTTAATGGCGGCACCACCTTCCATAGAAGAGACACCTGGACTGGTGGCATTCGAAGGGGAAGGTGCAACAGAAGGTGCAACAGATGGTGCAACAGATGGTGCAACAGATGGTGCAACGGATGGGGCAACGGATGGAGCAACGGATGGAGCAACGGATGGAGCAACGGATGGGGCAACGGATGGTGCAACTGAACCAGGACTGGATACTTCACCAGCTGCAGAGGAAGCCTTACCTGGACACTCGGTGACAGTCTCAGCACAGCTGGTAACCGTAGCAAGAGTAGTGTCAGTATTAACTTCTGTAACGACAGCCCCACCTTCAGTGGTAGCAGCAGAAGTTAAAGAAATAACGGATAAGATAGCAATGGTAGAAAATTTCATTTTGGTAGTTTGTTTAGCGATTGGAATAATGGCTATCTATCTTTATTTCAATTGCCTGTGAGAAGCATCTCTTTATATAATTTTTTTTATCAAGTTTCAATTCCTTCGAACTGCCCCAAATATTATTAGATATAAATAGTTACAACTTAAAGTTAAAACAACATCACTATTACTACCCTTTACAAAGGCAAAGTTTATCCGAATCAGGCTGCGAAACAATCGTTTTCACGCAGGCCTAAGTTCATAACACTCGTATTTTCGGATAAACAGAATATAATGCTATAATGATTACTGGCGACCAGTATAAGATACAGCCTTTGTCTCTAAACGGAAAGTATAGCTATTATTTGATCAAATTAAGTTTATTCGTTCGTATTACGTGTAGGATGTTTATTCTTGTCGGTATTAAGTTTTAAACTATAAGTAAATTTTTGACAGTGTTTACAGAATATTACCCACCTCGAACTTCACCATAGCCCATATATTGCATCAGGTTGCATTATACGTTCTCTATCCAACATTAGTAGCGAGACACAAAAAATGAAAGGAAGTATAGCAAGTGTGTTAGTTAAGCAAAACGCGAACTGCTCATACTAGGAACCATGGAATGTACATCGGTATTGAAGCCATCATCGAATACACTCTCGCTGATGCATTCACTGATAATATAGTCCCAGTCACTAGTTAATACAAAGTAGTATTGTAGGATAGAAACAAAAAAGAGGGCAATAATCATACCTAGCCATAAACCTACCAATTCCATTTTAAAGTAGAATGCAAATGTAAAGGCGCAAGGTAACGCAATGCAATAGTAGGATATTAGATTTAATATTCCGCCTATTTTTTGTCTTCCTTGGCCTCTCAAAATTCCTCCTGTCGAGCACGATAAGAAATCGTTAATTTGGTATATGGAAGCAATTATTAATACCTTTGAGGTAAGTTTAATGACATGGGAATCGTTGGTGTAGAGAGAAGCCAATACGTCTCTAAAGCAGAACAAAAATGATCCATTAATACACCCTAGTAGTAACGAAACATAGATTGCGACTGTTGTTGCAGCCTTGGCGGGTTTCTTTGCGGCAGCACCAATGTACCAGGCAACTCTAGTTGAAATAGCAATTGATATTGCAAAAGGTATCTGATAAAGTAGCACACAAGTGGTGGAAACAATTGATTGAGCAGCTAAAACGTCGGTGCCAAACTTAGATGCAGTAAACGTAATGATTTCAAATGCTAACCATTCTGCCTCTACCATCAAAACTCCAGGTATTGAAAGATTTATCATTCTAGTCCAATTTCGAAATAGCACGGGGGAAAGCAAACCTGTGTTAGGCCAGCATTCGTTACCCTTAACTAACCAAATATAAGAGTAAAGTAAAATACACATTAACCAGTTTGTTATTGATACAGATATAGGAGCTCCTACAAAACCCATACCAATAGATTTGTTCCATACCAACAAATAATTAAGATATGCATTCAATGGTGCACATATAGCCAATACATACGTTGATGCATGAAATATACCTTGAGCTTGTAAAAAGTGCTTGCCATTTTCAAAAAGAATGAATGCCGGCAACCCTAAACTTAGAACTCGAAGGTACTGAGAGGCAAAAGCACACAACTCCTCCTTTTCATTACCAATAATCAACAAAAGAATTGGTTTTGACCCAAATACCCATAATAAGAACATGGGAATACACAACAAAAATAATAAATAATTGCACTTGAAAAAGTGCACCCCAACGGCGTTAAACTCTTTCCTACCATATGCCTGTGAACATAGAGTATCAAGACAAGTAGAAACTCCCTGTATTATAGCGTAGCCTGAAATATTAGCTGTCATAGAAGATAAGCTAACAGCCGCCAATTCCTTCAGGCCTAGTCTCCCAACAGAAAATACAGATGCAACTGTTAATGAATACTGCAACAAAAATGTGATAATCAACGGAATTGAATATTCAAACAACACCGTTACTTCTGTTTTGATATCTGTTTCTGGTTCAGCCAATAATCCGCTCGCATGAGATAGGACATCGCCTACGAATGATGCATTCGATCTAGACGTTGTCATCATCTCTTCATTCCCTCTCTCTAAGTGTGGCCTTGTCCCGCCCTGGGTTAAGATCAAGCTACTTGGGATCTTATCAGTTCCACATGAGGCAATAGATGCTCTTCTCTTCTGAATATACGTGATGACCTCAGATTCATCTAAATCCTCATTTCTTGTTGAATCATATAGAAATCCGCTGTTTGCTAATGGTGAAAATTCATTATTGGGTTCTCCCCTGTAGGACATAGTTTTTTGGAATCGAAGAAGAAGTGAATTGTATGATTATTTGTAGATCATTCATTAAATCATATCATTGAAACGCACTAATCAATTTAGATTAAGCCACGCGCATAAAATCAATATCGTGGCTTTATTGTATAATAAACGAAACGAATTTCCTTTGTAAATACCAACATAACGATATATTAAGTTTGATGTATATATGATCATCTTCTGTTTCTTCTGTTTAATATAACTGGAAGATAGTTTGTTCTTCTGCTCTTATTTTAATTAGATGAAAAATGGCTGCAAATTTACTATTATTCTCACATATGGCAAAAATCTAACAAAATTTAGAAATGTATTCAATAGTTTTTTTTTGGTAAAATATAGAAAACAATATACTTGCCTTAATACATAGAAGTAATAAAATTCAAAGGCTAAAGGTTAAATATTCTTATATATATACAAAACACTATCTGATAGATTAAGGGAGCGCATTGAAGTGTTTTAAGATGCATGACTCAAATAAATTTTCATCTATATTAACAGAAGGATGAACACACTAATTGATATATTTTACCTTAATTAGTGTCGAGAAATAACTATGATGTCCTTCGTAATACACGGATTTAGGTTATATTAGTAGTAAAAATACTAATTTATATCCGGTGAATAAAGAGTGCAGCGATGAAGGGTTTTTTTATATAATTACAGAGAAGGAGGTTATCTACTTTGTCAGTTACATCCTACAATAACAACATGATACAAAATTAAAGTTATTTAACAGTCTGTTTGTATTTATTCTAATATTCTAATAATTACAACGTCTATAAATGATAATACAATACATCGCTTACAGTCATATGGTTCGAGTAAAATCCGTTTCTAGGAAAAACCTAATACTAATTGACACATCTAAAACTTTCCTCTTAACAAGTTTCTGATCATATCTAAACCAGTGAAGTAAACAGTTCTACCGAAGGCATGGAAGTCTAATGTGGAGGATAATGTATCTAAGAAACCGAATGGCAACATGGCTGGAATCCAACCCTGTGCCAATTCCAAAGCAAATGCACCACCTGGCATAGAATATTGCTTAGAAGAGCCCTTAGCTAAATGATGAACATCACCTGGTAAGTAGACTTCCGGTGACAAAGCACCTGGGTAAGCAGCCCTTTGTTCTCCAGCCAAAATTGTGAAGTAATCATCCGCAAAGTGAATACCAGTATGACCTTCTGTACCAATAGCAGTTCCGAAAAAGATCAAGTATTCACTGATAGATGCATGTAAGATAAACATGGTTCCCATGGCACCACCGGCATTATTATAAACCCAGTCGTCGAAGTTCAAGTCATTGATAATATCACCGTACTCGGCCTTAATCTTTGGTGCTAATTCAATCATAATGGCAGTTGCATTCCCATCTGGATGATTAGCAATAACTTCCCTTGATAAGCTGGCAAGTTTTTCTTTATCAAATCTGTAATTTCTTGGTAACCAAGAGTAGAACAACTGATTAAAGACGTAAAAAATAGCTAATGGGATAGCTGTGAAGTAAAATAATTTCATTATGAGAAGAAATGTATCCGCCTATCTAGATGTGGTGATATAATCTCGAAATAGTAAACTTTTATACTCTTTTATAATGAACCGTAAACCATTTGGAAAATTTATACGACTATAAACGAGTCGTATAAAAAATTATTTTGTGTTAACTTGAATTTTCAGGACTAAGGAAGATAAAATACATGTATACCAAGAATAATAGTCGAATATATCGTTAATAATGATATCTAAAGAGGTTACAGAAACCTTAAATAACCAATCAATACCAAACATAGATAAATATTTATATTTGAAGCAAATAATATACACGAATACCGAGTCAGAATCTAATCAAGTGCTAGATAACTTACCACTAGATAGCGAAGATGAAGAGTTGGGTGCATTAATGATCTTATTGAAAATTGAGTTTATCCTAGAATTTAAAGAAATAGATATCTATGAGGTGGATTCTCTTAATAAAATGGTTCAGCTTTCGAGTGCTTTCCCAAAAGGGCCTTTTAACGTACAGACTAATCCAACTAGACAATACATACGAGTGAAATATAATGATTTATACAACGATTTCCAATATCTATTCAATCCAACTGTTACAATCTTTAGGTTTATGGAGCTTGTCAATAAAAAATTAACTACATTGAGTAACATACCTGATACGGAAGATGATAATGTTATAGATTTGGCAGTAGACTTATACTTGAAGGTGGTTGATTACTGTTTGTTGGCAGGAAGCGACTTCAGGAAAAAAAACATATTGAAGTTTCTTGACGAAACATTAGGGATATCGCAAGCAACAGGGCTAGATTCCACGATTGCAAGCAGATTTAACAAGAAAGTCGATGATTCAATAAGAGGTATATTCACATTACTTAACGAGGAGAAATTTATCCTGTTTACACAATACGAAACATTTTTGACTAATTCGGAAGCACCAATAGTGAAGAGAATTGCGAAGACCAATTCATCATTATTGGTATCAAATTTCCTTGAAAATAATATTTCGTTGCTTCCTAAATACTATATGAATATTCATTTAGATAAGATAACGCAATTGTTCATAATACCGACAGATTTGGATATTGAGGGCCTTGTTTCGCAAATGATAATCAATGGAAAATTACCACCAGGTACTTGCATAGATCAAATGGAACAGACTATAATATTTGGCGAATTTCAGCCTGAATACAGCAATTTTGACACGCATGTGCAAGAGGTTTCTGAAATGGTAGACGAAATAGCAAATATAATTCATAACACCAATATATAATTTATGTGAATATATACATAATCTAATCCAATCTAATCATACTTGGAATATTCTTTAGTCCAGTATTGTCTTAATGTCTTCTGTTCGCCAAGTTTGTTGATTTCGCTGACCTCATCTTTAGTTAATTCAAAATCAAAAATTTCCAAACTAGCCTTGATTCTCTCCTTCTTACTAGACGTTGTGATTGGTAAAATACCGTTTTGCAAAACACTTCTAAGCAAAATTTGACTATCAGTCTTGCCATACTTTGAAGCCAATTTGTCAACGTAGTCATCGATAGGACCTGGCTTACCTTTCAAAAGTGGGCCCAATGGTGAATAAGCTGCAACCAAGATATCATTAGACTTAGAAAATTCCACAATACCTGGTGTCTGATTCTGCAAGTATGCATTGTACTCGATCTGGTTGATCACCGGTTTGTACTTAGGTTCACTATTCAAAATTACCTCAAGATCTTCCTTAGCGAAGTTAGATACCCCGATATTCTTAGCATATCCGTCATCCACTAATTTTTCAAGGTATTGCCATGCCTCAGCTAAATCGAAACCATGTGTCTCTTTCTTAACGAAAGGAGCATGAATTAAATACAAATCAACGTAATCAACGTTAAAATCCTTTAAATCTGCCTTCAATGCTTCATAAGGATTGGCATTTGTTGATCTTGCTTGGTAACTTCCATCGCCAGCGAAATACTTGTCTGTAATGAATACGTCTTCTCTCTTCACACCACTATTGGTCAATGCCTGACCAATCTCTTTGTTTGTATTGTAAACTTCGGCGCCATCAATATGTGGTGCTCCAGTTTCGATTGCAAGTTGTACTGCATTAACTACGTTATCGTCAATCTGATTTTGTCCAAATTTGTACCATTTAGTTCCAACACCATATCCAACAGCTGGGATTGTGTTTCCGTTTGAGAGCTTAAAGTTACTTCCTTGTAAAGACATTGTATTTATCTTAATATATTTCGATTTATTTTAATATCTAATTAATTGAGCTTTTAAATATGATTATTTGAATCCACTTTTATACCCCATAATAGTTTCGGACTTATTGCGATTTTTGTAGCCACATTTAGTCAATATTAATAAGCATCAAAATACATCTAAATAATATTGGTAAGCATTTATCCGTATAGCAAACCACTAAAGTTAGTACTTGCTGTCATTGTGGGGACGTAATAATTTATTAAATGTATATTATGACTAAAAAGAATAATTTTGAAACATAAAAATTTTATAATACATGTAAAGATGACAACATAAACTTCATATCTAAAAGTGCATAGAACCAGGAAAATTATTGGTAGACCATGACTCTAGGGGTAATAAAAAAAATCGACTTGTACGTTTGCTTCTATCGGACGGTAAATATACAAAATGACAACTGTATGACAATTAACTGTAGAAACCAGAACCTAATTGTAATAAAGATTTCGCAACACTGAACGAATTTGGAGTTCCAAAGGTATTTTGGGAATTTCTTATAGGAGATGAGCTTAGGATATTATTGTTATCTTTTTTGGATACTTTAATCGAGTTACATGTCGATTCTCTCAATGGCCCATCATCGTCTTCATCGATGGTTTCGTCGGTGTTGAGAATGGTTTGATTAGCATCTTCGTGCTTAGAATGAGTCAGGGCTTGTGATTGATTCTGGTTCTGGTTTTGTAAGTAGGTATTTACTAAATTTCTAGTGGATGATGAATTCTTCATAGGAGTTTTCAATATTTTATTAATTGGAGGCAATGACATTGATTTTAAGGTCACAGGGTTTGACAGGGATCTCAAGTTAGAGCTTTCCATATTAACCTTGCACATAAGAGGTTTTGGTAATCTGATCATTGATCCATCGGAAGTGACCGTCGTACGTGGTATGATTTCTGAATTAGCTCTTACCGCGTGTGTTTTGTTCTTAGTAACATCGCTTGGGATCAAAGGCACCTTTGATACATCGTGATGATACTGGGAACCCTTTTTGACGGAAAACAACCGTAAGTTCTGCGTGTTCTTGAAGTTACTGACATTCTTGTCGTATGCAATGGCAGAAAGAGAAGGCTTCTTTGTGTATTTGTAAGAGGATCTCTTTGCATGGTTGGAAGGATTCTGAACAATCTTTGTTTTGGTTTGCAAGTTCATGTTTGCAGAAGACGAATAGCCGGTCAGCTTAGGTGGTGTAGGTAAATGTGACTTTCTGTCAACAGGAGAAATGGTGGATTTGGTAAATAAATCAGAAGAGTCAAATGACGTGTTAGTTTGGGTATGACTTTTGGTAGCGTCTATGTATTCATTACCAGACTTGTTATTGTTATTAATGCTGTTTGATTTATGTTGGAGTTTATAGAATGCTAATTGTAGTTTGAGTTTCAACTTGGTGGCAGCAAGACCCGCGGTGGCATTTGTGCTGTTAGTCACCAATGGCTTGCTAGACAAACCGGTAGACTTTGGCGGAGTGGACCCAAATCTAAAGTCAGAAAAGCTAACACTCTTGGTTGCCCGTAATGTCTGTGACTGCGCCGGCAACACCTTTTGTCTCTTCAACGAGTCAGATGGTGTCGAAGGCTCCACAACGTCAACTAATGAAGATGTATATGACCGCTTGTTTTTCAGACTCAACGGAGAATTAATGTTTAGACGTGAATCTCTAATTGGAGCTAATGCAATTCTGTTGGAGCTTTGGGAAGATGACGCAGTGAGTGACGACATGGTAGCAGTGTGATGGTATATCTTAACGTCACTAATGGGTTGAGTCGCTGAAGAAGGTTTATTTCTGACGAAAGACAAATTGTACCCAGTTATACCTGAAAATCCTAAACTTGATGTAAAGTATCAAATACTCAGTTCGATCAAAATACAAATACTCGATCGCGTTAACTAAAACTAAACTGTATTTCCCAAATACCAAAATACAGCTAAAAAAATATCGCTAATGGCGTTCGGGTTAGGATGTTTACTTCTGACGGTGTACGTTTTGGGAACGGTTTTGTTGGCAAATTGGCTGTAATTGTCAATTGGTCTTCGTTTGTATTTGTGCCCTCCAACCACTTTGCAGGTAATGTTTACAATTTCATGCACACCTAAAAAAACAATAACACCAAATATACTATTAATATTCGCATGGCTCGCACCGCTTTCGCAATACGTCCTGGACTCCTAACGAGACGTGTCGTTTATTTATGAATTTCTTGTTATTACCGTTATATTTACGTCCCGAAATAGTTTGGTAGTAGTATTTATTTGCAAATTGCCTAATCGGGACGAGGTTCCAATGTTTAGTACCGCGACTATGTATAGCGAGAACGCGATGAGGAATTCACGCAAGTGGTGGAGCAGCCGCTTCAGAAGGGCTACCACAAACAGGTCTGGTAAGGACATGTAAGGAAATGGTATGGTAAGGTGCGATAACATAGGAGGCTCGTGGATACGACGAGAATGGGGTGGAGAATGTGAGTGCTTAGAATGCGAGTACGCAGGGAAGGGCTGTGTAGAATGTAGAATATGAAGGAGTTAACGTGGGGAGTAAGAATGAAGAGATGCTAGCGGATGTGTCTAGTTATACGGGTAACTTTGATAGAGAAATGATTCGCCAGAAATAAATAAGGTATAGGCTGGATTGATAAGCGATCGGTCGTACATTTGAAGTTTTAGCGCATCCGGTGGGTGGAGGGTCACGACCGGTAAGAGCGGTGGATGGTAGGACCGCCGGTGGCGGGAATTGGGTAGAGTTACCGAATTGTATACAGGATACCAACATATTGTCTTCTGCTCCTAGCTATCGTAAACGATTTTTCGTATATACGCTTAGGAGTAGGGCATGGAATGCTTGGAGACACTGCTGGCACTATACCGGCTAGTTCCAATTAGTTATTCGAATGATCTCGCGAGCATGTATTTTTCTTGGGTTTGCAGTGGCTGTACCGATATATGGCTTACGGCTTAGGTATATACAAATTCAATTTCTCTCTCATGAACTGTAGGGTATCGAAGACTAATTGATACCGCAGCACGATCAACAGCTTTCAAGTTCAAGCAGATATTGTGTAGACGTTGGACTTTGATCAGGAATTTAGGAACCATTCGCCACACCGTTTTTGAACATCGCCACGACTTCCCGATAAACGATAAAAACGGCTATTTAAGGAGAAATGGGTCTGATAAGGATAAGCAGGGTGTTTCTAGCGTCTTTTACAATAATACTTTATTGAATAATTATGTTAAGATCCAAGCTATCATCGTTGAGGGAGTACTTGACTCCCATAAAACACACATCTGATTTCACCACCACAGGCGAAATATCTCCCGAGGAATTTGTAGAAGCTGGGGACTACTTGGTGTACAAATTCCCAACGTGGCAATGGAGCTCAGCACCCGATAAGTTAAAGAAGGATTTCTTGCCTCCAGACAAACAATATCTCATTACCAAACATGTATCTTCTTACCAGAGGGCTGTTACGTATTTGGGGATCAAAAGCGACTTGGATGAGGATGAAGAAGAGTTGGAAGACGGATGGGTTAAGTCACATAAAATCAACAGTGATGCGACATCTCGGTTGAAGGGTGATGCGCTGGAAGAGAACCCAGGCAGTAATGCTAATGATAATGGTGATGCTAATGAAATTAATGATATTGATGAATTAATCGATGAGAATGCGGAGGAACAGAGCTCGGAAGATGAGAACGATTTTGAAGAATTGGTTGAAACCAATGCAAACAGCAATTTGAGAAAGTACGATTTGTATATCACGTACTCCACTTCGTACAGGGTTCCCAAGATGTATCTTGTGGGATTCAATTCTAACGGGATCCCATTGCTTCCTAAACAGATGTTCGAAGACATTTCGGGCGATTATAGAGACAAAACAGCAACAATAGAGACATTGCCCGTCTCCTATAACACTATGTCGGTGTCGATCCATCCATGTAAGCATTCGTCTGTCATGAAGGTTTTGATGGCACACGCAGCTGCATCGAAGAGGACGGAAAATCCAGCAGAACTAGCAGAGCTAGCAGAACGGACAGGATCATTAAATTTAAAAGACAAAGTTCCTGGTAGGGATTTTGGCGAGGACGTCGACATCGAAGAGAATGTTCCTGGTATAAGAGTTGATCAATATTTAATCATTTTCTTGAAATTTATTGCAAGTGTCACTCCCGGTATCGAATATGACTACACGATGGATGCGCTATGACTGTATACTACTACCTCTACTACTACTACCACTAATACTAATATATTTGTCACTATGTACATTGTATTCTATGTATATAATTCACATGGAACAGAAGTAGATCACGTGAGGCATCTTTTTATCTGAAATTTATATCATTGCTAGTGTTTACTTTGAGTATAGACTCTTACTTGTTGTTAGGTAACATGACTAAGCCTACTAAGAGAAGAGATAAGGATTCGAAACATGAAGATGACTCTGTGGATGAAACAACAAGTAGAACCAGCGCATTAGATTCAAGTGAACCTGTTTTGACCGAAACGCATAGTGTTACTAGAAGAAGATCATTAACGCATAAGCAGCCCCATTCACACGAAGGTGATAAAAAGGAGAACACTAAGAAAGAGAAAGTTAAGAAGAAGATGTTTGAATCTAGAAGAGTAATTTTTATTATGGGAACAGTTATTGGGTTAATTGCAGCCGGCTTTTTTGGGGCAGCATCGAATCCAAGTATGAAGGCGGAACTTGATAAGTTGGTAAGTTTTGATTCTGTTAGTGGATTGTTAGATGATTGGAAAGAAGCTTTGCCTTCAGGATTGCAATCTATATTGAGTGATATTGACGGTTCTGGAAATGAAGATCCTTTGTATGGTTCGGCCGAATCCTTTTCGGTCGGTAGAAGAATGGTGTCCAACCATAACTTAACAAGTAAGCATAGCGTTATTATGGTTCCAGGGGTCATTTCCACTGGAATTGAATCTTGGGGTTTGGAACAACCTGCCGATTGTCCTTCTGTGAACCATTTCCGTAAAAGATTATGGGGATCGTTTTATATGTTAAGAACTATGATCTTGGATAAAGCATGTTGGTTAAAATATATAATGCTTGATCCTGAAACAGGTTTAGATCCTCCCAATATTAAATTAAGAGCAGCCCAAGGGTTCGAGGCGGCAGATTTCTTTGTAGCAGGATATTGGATTTGGAACAAGATATTACAAAACCTTGCCGTTATCGGATATAACCCAAATAATATGATTAGCGCTTCATACGATTGGAGATTGGCATATTTAGATTTGGAAATACGAGATGCTTATTTTTCTAAATTAAAAGCACAAATTGAGATGACTAAAATTGTAAGCGGTGAAAAGTCAGTTTTAGTTGGTCATTCAATGGGATCCCAAGTTATTTATTACTTTTTAAAATGGGTAGAAGCATCTGGTGAACACTATGGTAATGGTGGCTCAAAATGGTGTAATGATAATATCGCTGCAGTGGTGGATATTTCTGGTAGTACCTTGGGTGCCCCAAAGACAATTCCAGCTTTAATCTCTGGTGAAATGAGAGATACAGTGCAATTGAATGCGTTGGCAGTCTATGGATTAGAAAAATTCTTTAGTCGCAAGGAAAGAGTTGATATGTTAAGAACTTTCGGTGGTGTTCCAAGTATGTTACCAAAAGGGGGTGAAGTTATCTGGGGAAATTCTACACATGCTCCAGATGATCCTTCCAATACCTTGTTGACACCATTGAGCTCTAACGAAACTCTCCCTGAAGGTCCTAAGGGAGAAACATTTGGTACATTTATCAGGCTTGACGGAACTTCGAAAAAGAACTTAACCATGGATGAAAGTATTGATTATTTGCTCGAAAGATCCCCAGACTGGTTTAGTAATAGAGTAAAAGAACAATATTCTTTCGGTATTGCTAAAACTAAGAAGGAGTTAAAACGTAATAACCAGGACCACCTGAAATGGTCTAATCCATTAGAAGCAGCTTTGCCAAATGCTCCTGATATGAAGATGTTTTGTTTCTACGGTATAGGAAAACCAACTGAAAGAGCCTATTACTATCATGATGCTGATCCATCTGTTAAATTAGACCATACTATAAATTCTGAAGTCGAAAATCCAGTCTTACTAGGTGATGGAGATGGTACCGTATCTTTATTGACTCATGCAATGTGCCACGAATGGCAAAAAGGAAGCAAATCAAGATATAATCCAGGTAATACGTCTGTAACTATCGTTGAAATTAAACATGAACCCGATAGATTTGATATTAGAGGTGGTGCTAAAACGGCTGATCATGTTGACATCTTGGGTTCGGCTGAGCTTAATGAATTAGTTTTAAAAGTTGCAGCTGGAAAGGGCGATATGATTGAAAGCAGATATGTTAGTAGATTACGTGAAATCGTTTCTGAGATGGATATTTAGTCATATATAGCTTATAATAGATAAATGAAAGTTAGATTTAAGCCGTGACACAAAATCTCAATACGTTATTGAAGAACTTCTATAGAAAATCTATTGATAAGGAATGTACAAATGATCAATTATAATGAATGAAAATGCTAGAAATAACAACGAATATACAAGTAACGAAAATGAAGTACAGTTCTTTAATATTGACCAGGAAAGCGCTGACCAAAATGATGTTATGAATCTCTCCGTGGATCTATCATCATTAGAAAATCACACCGCTCATGAAGGAGAAAACCCATACAATGGAAATAATAATGATATAAATACTCCAGGAAATGAAGAATTGCATCAGCAAATACGGCATAATTTTGCAAATAAAGACGAGGAATATCAGGCAATACAGGCAGTAGCAAGAGTACAGCGTGATGGACAGTTGCCTAACACAGAGAATATAAATAAGGATGATGCAACACTTAAAAATGTTACTATGAGTGACGATCGTCTTGCTGAACACTTTGATCCTAAGAGATACTGCAATTTTTGTAAAAAGCACTTTTCACACCAAGGATCTTATGGAAGACACTTGGATTTGAAAAAGGGCGATGAACTACACCCGATGGAGGAAATCGCCAAGATAAGGAACAAAGTGATTCGAAGAAACGGTTTCTTGGATACTGAGAGGATAGAAGCTCGCAAATCAAAGAAAAAAGTGGCCTCTAGAATATATAACAAACGTGAAAATGTCAAGGAGAAAAACAAAATTAGGAGGAAACTAAGAGACAGAGAAATCAAGGCTAAATTATTGACCAATGAATGGTATTTGAACCAATTGGGTAACGGCTCTGAGAAACACGGATTACCCAATTTTGCTAAGATAGTGTGTTTGTATCTACCTGTCAGAAGTTGGCCCGTTGGTTCTCCTCCAGCCGAGGAGGTGTTTGATGATCTAATTGCAATATCCGCAAATCACAGCAGTACGTTATTGGAGGAAGTAAAGGATTCGTACACGATATGGCAGGGCTACTCATTCGAAAAGAGGCGTGATCTTTGGTTTGTCGAACAAAAAAAGACATTAGAAGAGACCCTAGGAAATTTTTCTCTAATAGACTTACAACAAAGGAACCAAATAATGGATAAACAGAAGAAAGATACTTTCGAGGACTTGTGCAAACTGGATAATTTAATGACCTCAAATTCACAAAGTTACCAAGAAGATGTTAATTTTATTGATTCTAACGAGAGTGAAGACGATGATACAGGTCATCCCATTGCACACGCTTCTTTCCAACCTGATGGTACTAACTACTTTGAAAATCATTAGTTGAATTAGTTTATACATAGCTTACAATAGGATTTTTTGCGGAGTCGGAACGCGCGATTTGAGTTTTTAAATTTCATCGACAATCAACAAGTAGAGATAGTAGATTGAAGTTAATACAATAAATCAATAATTATAAGAGTTGACTTCATTCATCGACGAAATATTAAAAACACATTTAGAAATACTCATCACAAGAAGAATTGAAATAAAATGAGGTATGTATGTGCATTAATTTAATTATGGAAATGTAGTACTAATTCGTTGTTATAGTGGAAAGTTTGTTAGGGCATCTAAATATCGTCACGTATTTGGACAGGCAACTAAAAAAGAGTTATGTTACGAAAACTTGAAGATTACAAAGAATGCCTGGGATTCTAATATTATTGATTCGAACGGGAAATACTTATCCGTTAACTGGGATTCTTCGGGAGGTGGTGCGTTTGCTGTTATTCCTTTGAGCGAAGTCGGAAAGGCACCAGATACCGTTTCATTATTTAGAGGCCACAAAGGACCAGTATTAGATACACAGTTCAATCCATTCAACCAACAACAAATTGTCAGTTGTTCAGATGATGGTAAGATTTGCTTGTGGGAAATTCCAGAGGATTATTCATTCCACAAGTACTTAGATGAATCTGATAACATTAAGGATATCACTGAGCCAATTAAGGTTCTTTCGGGCCATACTAGAAAGGTGGGACATGTCGAGTTCCATCCATGTGCTGAAAATATTTTAGCATCTTGCTCTATGGATTATACCGTTAAAATTTGGAATTTAGAATCCGGTAAGGATGAAATTACATTACAACACAAAGACTTGGTTACTTCTTTAGCATTCAACTATAATGGTTCTTTATTGGCTACTACCTCAAGAGATAAAAAAATAAGAATCTGGGATATTAGATCAGGGAAGGTCTTATCTGAAGGTCCAGGTCACACCGGTGCTAAGCCTTCAAGAGTTGTTTGGTTAGGTAATACCGATAGAATTATCACTACCGGTTTTTCCAGATTATCTGATCGTCAAGTTGGTATTTGGGATGTGAATAACATTGAAGGAGGTCCGATCGACGGGTTTCTTGTTATTGATGCATCTTCGGGAGTATTAATCCCAGTTTTCGATGAATCAAATAATATTTTATATTTAGCGGGTAAGGGTGATGGTAATATTCGTTATTATGAATATGAAAATGATATTTTACATGAATTGTCTCAATATTCGTCTACGGACCCTCAAAGGGGGTTTGCCATTTCACCAAAATTTTCAGTTAATGTAAAGGAGAACGAGGTCCTTAAATCCTTCAAGACTGTCAATGACAATTCTATTGAACCAATATCATTTATTGTTCCTAGAAGATCTGAATTGTTTCAGCTGGATATTTATCCAGACTGTCCTTCGCAAGACCCAGCATTAACTGCACAAGAATTCTTCGATGGTAAAGAATGTAATGGACCATTATTAATGAGTATGGAATCATTGTATGAAGGCACTGAACCATCCATCAGAGAATCAGGCGCTTCGATTAGCGTCTCTTCAGTTAAAGAAGAAGCAGCGGTAGCCAAGAAGGAAGAGAAACAAGCAAAGGAAAAGGAATTAAAAGCGAAGAAGGAATCAACAGAAGAGGCTAGGCCGGTAGAAAAAACCAAAGATAAGAAGGAGTTTACTCCTGAATCATCTCAAACTCCAAAGAATGTTGATGAATTGTTGAAATCATCAGATGATGTTAATAATTTGATCAATAAGGTAAATGATGAATCAGACGATGAAGGAAAGCAAAAAGCAGAAGAGAAAGATGATGACTGGGAAGAAGTGAAGAAGCCAGAATCGCCTTTGTCTAAATCTACTAATGATAACAAGAAGGAAGAGGGTGAGAAGGAAGAAGCTGAGAAGGAAGAAGCCAAGAAAGAAGAGGCTAAGAAGGAAGAAGCTAAGAAGGAAGAAGCTAAGAAGGAAGAAGCTAAGAAGGAAGAAGCNAAGAAGCTAAGAAGGAAGAAGCTAAGAAGGAAGAAGCTAAGAAGGAAGAAGCCAAGAAGGAAGAAGCTAAGAAGGAAGAAGCTAAGAAGGAAGAAACCAAGAAGGAAGAAACCAAGAAGGAAGAAACCAAGAAGGAAGAAACCAATAAGGAAGAAACCAAAAAGGAAGAAGCCAAGAAGGAAGAAACTAGATCTAAAGAATCTACTCCGTCTACTTCTTCATCAAATACTTCTAAGACTACGACGAGTGGTGGCCCTACATTAAAAGGAACAGTTGAAAAACTTGCTAAATTGGTAGAAAAGTTAGAAGCTCAAGTTGTTAAATTAACCGACGCAGGTTTAGAAAAGGATGCAAAATTAGCTTCTTTAGAAGAAAAGATTAACGAGTTACTCAAGAAATAGTTCAGTTTTATATATTTATTTTTCTATTATGTACTAGAGTTGTAATAACAACAATTGAAATTATATCACGTATTATTAGTCTCTTCTAATATCATAAAATTTTCTGAAAATGAAACCAGTTAAATTATGCGTATCGAATATTACCATACCATCAAATAATTCGAATTTCTCTTTATTTTCATACTGAAGATTCAATAATTGATCAATAGTAACTGAATTGTAAGCCCCGGGAATATTTACAGACCCTGTGGCAGCTTCAATTGTAAACTTTCCTACTTCATGACAACTGAACATGAAATCTAATTTTGATGATGATGAATAACGTTGGCTCATGAGACCACCAAAATCAATCAATATTTCTTGATCTATTAATTTCTTAGCAGAATACTTGTAAGAACCAAATTTCGGAAGTCTGTTTGATTTCTTTAACTCTCTGTGGTAAAAGTATTGTTTACTAAATACTGGAATAATATTAAATAACTTTTTGTCCTTTGATTTCAGTTGCAATTCTGATAAAACATTGTCAATATGCTGATTGTAATCAGATAGTTGTTTTGTTAAAAATTTTTCTTTATCTAGTAACTTCTTCTGTGTCTTACTAGCAATTTCTAATTGAGCTTTACGATTAACCCTTTGAGAATGTTTTGTCTTAATATCTATTGCTATCTGATTAAGAATCTCTTGGAAAGCGTTCTTTCTTGTTAGGACACCCATAGATTCTAATTTCAAGATGATCTCCAATGCCATTTTCTTTAGTTCATGATATGTCAATGAAGATAAATTACCTAATGACGTCTTATAGTATGGTCTCCTTTTGATATTGGTACTGGCCTCCTCTATTTCCTTTCTTTCAACGCTGACAATTTCCTTAAATTTAGCTTCATGCTGAGGTTTAATACCAGAAATAAGCAACTCCAACAAGCCACTTCCTTCTTGAATTCTAATAATATATAATATGCACCTTTTTGCTTGCGAAATCAATGATAGTACCTTGGAATCTGCTAGTGAATCTTCCTTTGTAGTTGGGTTTAAATTCAAAGTTACGATACCCAATTCTGTTAAAGTCACAAAATCATCAGCAGAATTTACGACATCTTCTAATCTAGAAGTTATATCACATAATTGGTCATCAGAACTTGGTGCCATCACGTCAACATTTTGACTTACTATTTTTTCAATCATAATCATATCACTTACCTTCATACTTAATTTAGGTCTTTCATGAGTCACAATATCATCGTAGTCGTTCAATTCATATTCGTCTTCAATGCTTTTAACATCTATCAATCTAGACACCATTTTCTTAATCATACCATTCATTGAAATAACATAATCATTTAAAGGTTTCAAATAATTATCACTAAACGGCTTCATAGAAAATACCTGTAACATTACTCTGCTCAAGTGTTTGAGGTTGTCCTTAGCTTTAGCATTATATAATGATGCATTAAATGGACTTTTAGCCAAGTAGCCAAAATTTTCTGGATATTGTAATATTGCTGATATATAATGTTTTATGAATACAACTCCTGCAACTGCTAAATGCTGTTGCTCTGATTTCTCGGGGAAATGTACCTGAGATAACCGATATGCATTATTTGAAAGTAACCTGATATGAATTGGGATTCTTTCAATAGATTTTTCCAACACATTGAAAACCTCAGTGGAAAATTCTCTTAAATGCATCAAGTTTTTCACAAACCTATCCGAGACATCAGGATTTTTAATGGCAACTTGTGAAGTGACATGTTCTAGTTTATCAGATGAACCATTTATTTTGATTTCTCTTTCAATAACATCAGAATAAATCTCAGAAGGATCAGATTCAAAGTCAAGTTCATCATTATCAATAATATGAGAGATAGACTTTCCCATTATATTCTTTAAATGAAGTCTTTGGTAAGTATGATTATTAAACTGTAATAGATAATCTATCCAAAAACACTCCTGACATTTTGTAATATCGCTTATAGTTCTGCAATTATATTCCATATCATTTTTCATCATACTGGAAATGAATTTAATCAAGAAGAATTCTTCTCTTGAATGATGGTTAATAGATGAATCCTTTATTGGGAACATCAGGGTAATGTAATATTGAAGATCTTTGTTAAATTTGGAATCTTTGGAGGCAATTGGCATACTGTTGTACAATCTAATAAAATATACTGGCTTTGTTTGAAGGAAATAAAACATTGTTTGATATAAATCAATTCTTTCCCTAGATGACTTATTAAGCTTTGCTATATTTTGAAGATTGACGGCATTGTTGGCCGCAGGCTTATATGTTTTATATTTGTTCTTATGCTTAATAAATTCTTCGACAGTAATTTTATTTTTATCTAATAAGCTCAACTTAATATCGGAATTTTCAATTTGTAGTTCCAAATCTTCATTGTTTTTCGATTTTCCAATTATTTTATCTTTCAAGTCTGACAACTCCATTTCCTCTTGATAATCCATATCATTGTCTGTCAACAAATATGCAAATCTTTGTATAACTGCCAATGGGGGGTTCTTCATATTAATAAGTGACTTATAAGCTCTCTGAGTGAAATTGCTCTTAATGATCGCTTGCGCTCTGATCACTTTATCTGAATTGATACGGTAGTACTTTTCAATAGAAGTAATTTCGTCTCTAATAGCTTTTCCTCTTATAATCGACTGCAAGCTAATTATATTGCCGATGTCAAAGTATAAGTCTTCCAATCTTATCTCCCGTTGAAATCTGCATAAAATTCCTCTAAATATAGATTGAATAGGTAATATAGTTTTGCTTTCGTTTTCTTTCAAAATATCTTTCTTTCTCTGTATTTCCTTCCTGATGTTATTCCCCCTTACTCTCGCATATAAAGTATTTAAGACCGAATCTTCGTAAATCAAAGTAATCAACACATTATTGCATAACCTTGTTCTAGAAATTCCACCTCTTGCGATACTTTGGAGATCACACAAATTAGACAATGATCTGGAAATAATTTTACGTTTCCTATATATATCATTTCTAATTACTTGACCCCGAATCAAGGATTGTAACTTAACTATACCTCCACCATTGGATAAACTTTGAATAATACTACTCTTAGAATATCTTTTAAATAAACATCCACGGCAAATTGCTTGAAATTTTAGAATAGATGGTTCAATCGAATCTTTATGTTTCATGAGCACAGTAGCTTTTGGACGAATCAATTTTGCTTTCATAACCGACTGTAAATCAATAACGGAGCTTGAACTTCCCAACAAGGCAGATTTTATAGTGTTGAATCTTTTTCTTTCCAAGTAACCACGGATTGTAGCTTGCAAGTTTCTCGATGAATTTTCGCAACCACTAAAATCATAGTTATTCGAAGATTTGGAAAGTCTGCCTCTTATGATAGATTGTAACTCAACTAGTTCATGCTTGTAGAGTAATAATTCATCACGGTGCTTATGTACGGTCTTATTACGAGACATATTCCCTCTCATAATTGAAACAAAATAAGTCAATTCATCACCAAATGACTTAAGCATTATACGATCAACAAACATCCTGTAACGGAAATTGGCCCCACGAGCTAGCGCTTGTAGCTTTTTAACATTTTCGATATGTTCTTCTACCTCAGGGGTATAATATTTACTGCTCTTATAATCAATGTCATGAGATAAGGTTGAAGAATGAAAATTTAATGTTGAAGGTCTACTAGAATTGTAACGCTCGACATTCTTCTTGAGTGGTGAATAACTCGAGTCCGTAGGTTTGACAAGAAGCTCATTATTAGCCACTGACCTCTCCATGAATGGATTTTCATTATCGATTTTCTTTTCAGCATTAAAACCTTTTAAAGGTTGAAGTTTATTTGAAGACGCCAAAGCACGATTCATGTAACTGCTCTGGCCGGCTTTCAAAGGCGACGAATCACTTGTGTCAGCACTTGAAAAGTTAGGCAAGCCAGCACCAACTAACGCTCTATTGGCAGTTCTAATTTCTTCCCCTGAGAAATCCACTCGGTGAACCAAATTCTCAACCTGTGGGTAAGAAGGTTCCATCTTATTGAGCATGTAACTCATTGCATGCAAACAGAACCAGACCTTTGGAACATTCTTGGCATCATATAAATCTGTCAACTCGAACCTAAATAGGTCAGGAACATTCAAATACTCCAACAATTGAAAAAATCGGTTTATATTTTCAGTATGTCTAAATTGTAATTTAGAATCGTTGGTGAATACAGTCTTTTGAGAATCCAAAATAACGTTCGCTAATTTAGCTAAGTGAATACCATTTCTAATATAAGAAATCAACTCAGCCGGCTCCTGTGTTATTGGTTCTTGCAATACTGTCTCAAGCCAATTCTTTAATGCCATTATGCGACACAAGTACTCATACCCTGGTGAATCCTTAGAGGTATTATTGCTTGGAGAAGATAAAAATGGTGTATGACTTGGGGATGGGGTATTAATTTTCTGTTTCAATGGAGATAACTTGTTGTTATCTTTAAACGACAGTGGTGTTTCCAAATGTCCCTTAGTTGAGCTCAGGTCAAAGGCATCTTTCCTGAAAGCACTAGAAATTTTCTTACCTTCGTCCCCATCTAAAGGAGTTCTTCTTACCGGAGAACCACTACGGCTACTCGTGGCCGATGTATTGGATTTACTCAGGGGACTCTTGAATGAAGAAACAGTAACAGAAGGTGATTCAAATCTGCTTCTGAGCAATGCTGTCTTCGATGGGCTGGTAGTTGGATTGATATTTAATTGCTTTGCTAATTTGTCTAAGTCTTGTTCATCGGTCTGATCCTTTTTAGGTCTTGAAGGTGTCAAATTGTACTTCAAAGTAGGCTGTAATGGTAATCTATTTGGAGTGTCAACACCTAAATCATTGATCGACTCCAAGTACCGTAAAGCGACATTACTCTTTATAGGCGAAGTCATATCTTCTAATTAGGAATAATAAGTCAATGTGTTACTTGGATATGCTATTGAATATATTTAAACAGAACATTGACTTGTGTATTCCATCAAGATAATGATTTAAACACAATTAAATTCATTTATTCATATAACCGCATTGAGTTGAAAAGTAAACAAAATATCTCAGCCAAAATAAACATCTCGAAATTTCGAACAATATACTTCAGAAACAAAGCATGCATTATGACTACAGGAAAGTATTTTAGGACACTTATATATGTGTATTATTATACAACTCGTTATTTAGAGTCTTTGCAAAATTATGTAGGGTATTGTACAATGCGTGAATTCATAAATTTTCTATGATATGTGTGGGAGCGAACAGAACAATATTTACAGTTCATAAACCAGATTCACTTTGCTGCCGCCTATAGGCCGTCTCCAAGAGCTGTATAGTTTCGTCTAGTTTATCTAGCTCAGACTTTTGCTCTGGTATCTTCCTCTTGAGATTATTTAGTATTAAGAATGCTTGTTGGTAATCCTCAACGATCGAATCAATTCTCGGTATCAACGAATCATCTTTACCGGGTTCATCATCATCATTATGTAGTTCTTGTTGTAATTCAGAGTCTAATTCTGCTAGTATTGTAGAAACGTCTTTATCAGTGTCGGAAATCAAACTATCATATGTCTCCCTCGCCCGAGAGGGCAAATCCCTCCTAAGCTTACTCACCTGTATCGTTTCCTGTTCAACATGCTCCAATACATCCCGTAATTGTGCATTTAGCTCGAAGTCAAACGGCTCTATTTTCTCTTTCGATTTCAAAGATAACAACTCAGATATAGGCTTTGGGTTCTTCCTGCCCGACATATCGTATCCATCTATCATTATAGACTGTTTGGCCATCTCGAATGCATCTAATATAAAGTCGTCCAATAAATTTGCAACTTTCGTTTTCAAAGGGTCATTATTCGATGTTGGTAAATGAAGGTCAAGTTTTGACGTTGTATTATTAAGTATTTGACCATATAAATACCTCAAATCTTGTTTAGAGAGTTGCAACTTCTCATAGTCATTATTTCCACTCATTCTACCATATAGGAATCATCTATTTATCAAGTTATACAGCGTTAGGAAGTATAAACAAATGTTATTGTTTTTGATTGTGGATGAAAAATGTCGCGGCCACCAAAAATAATGTCGCAATAATTTTTAGGGGTGTTCGACTTTTTGTTAACTTCAACTGGTTCATAGTATAAAGATAGGTTTTTAGCAGATATCAACCTAATTGTCATCAATAAAAGCATAATGTCGGATAGTTTAGGTGACGAGTACGCACCAGCATTTGCTCCATTCCTTGGATTTGCTGGATGTGCTGCAGCCATGATATTATCTTGCGCTGGAGCAGCTATTGGTACCGCCAAGTCAGGTATTGGTATTTCAGGTATTGGTACATTTAAACCAGAGTTAATTATGAAATCGTTAATCCCAGTCGTTATGTCGGGTATTTTGTCTGTGTATGGATTGGTTGTGTCTGTTTTGATAGCAGGAGGATTGTCACCAACAGAGAATTATTCACTTTTCAATGGATTTATGCATTTAGCGTGCGGATTGTCCGTTGGATTTGCATGTTTGGCGTCGGGGTATTCGATTGGGATTGTAGGTGATGAAGGGGTTAGACAATTTATGCATCAGCCAAGACTCTTTGTCGGTATTGTCTTGATTTTAATTTTTGCTGAAGTTTTGGGATTATACGGTATGATTATTGCCTTAATTTTGAACACTAAGGGTAGTGGTTAATCCGACTAGTCTACACATAACAATTATACTAGTCAGAGCTGTATGTCATTTGCGTTAGATCAATTTTCGATTTGTTTATTTCTCGTGGATATTTGACCACCATACATAAAATCTATTGCTTACATGGTTGTCGCCCAACACGGTTTTCATATTTGCTTTTATTTATAACATCATATTTAATGACTTTAAATTACATATACGTTGTACGAAGTTTTCTTTAATTAAAACAAACAATCTATCGTAGTATAACAATGATTTAACTAATCAGTTTCCATTTTGTCTTCACCACTAGCAGCGCCTTTAGCTTGCTTAACACTTGCATCGTTCGTTCCAAATGTAACGTTACCACTGTCATCAATAAATTGTGTCGAGAACTCTTCTAAATATTGAACAGATCTATCAGAATCTAAGAATAACATATAACTTCTCTTAATATCAGGTAAATCGACAGAGTTACTTCTTCTCTTCAAAGCGATTTGTTGCGATACGGATATCAAATTAGACGCATATCTCAAACTAGTTTCCTGTCCAATCTTGGTTAATAATGCTAATGCATCACCCGTTAATTCGACTTCTTCTTCAGTCGCTCTAATCAACAAGATAGTTCTGATTTCGTCAGCATTATATGGAGCTGTATGAATAATAATCGATCTATCTAAAAGATCCATAGGTAAACCGTGAGGGGATTTGTAGTTTGTACCACGGGTTTTTGAAATACCTCTGTTAGTAGCCATAATTACAATAGGCGCAAAATCATCCTCTAATGCTCTATTTATGAATGAAAAACATTCGATGTCCAACATGTGAACCTCATCGATAAACAAAACACCTGGTACTATTTCGGCCTTACCTTCTTCTTTCCATTCTGCAACCTTAGTATTAATCTGATCACGAACTTCTGATCTAATTTCACCTGTGTCCCCGGAAAATAATGCTAAGAAGCCTTGTTGTCTTGAATTTATCACATCAATTTCGTGTAATGAAACCGTATGAACGACTTCCTTTCTTTTTTGTAATTCGCCTTCTGGACATTGAACAAACTTTGTTTCAGGTCCCATTGCATCATAATCTCTCGCACGAGTGAAGGATTTACCTAATTTTGTAATCTTGCCCGATGCTTTGTCGATAGATATAACATCACCAGCTAAAACCTTTTCCTTCGTTAAACCTTCTATCATCTTATTACCTAATTCATAGATAGTTTCCATATCGGTGGTTTTTATAGTTAATTTACCTTGCTTATGGCCACCGGTAATTGATCTGTCAATTTGGATTTCAACAACTTCACCCTCGATCATCTCGGTTTCTTCTTTAATTTTAATACCAATAGATTTACGGAAGGCTTGAGTTAAGGACTCAGTTTTGGATAATTCCAATGAAAAGATTTCAGAACCAGCAATCGCAGTGAACGGAACTTCTGAACCCAAGTTTTGCGATAATCCCATAGCAATAGCAGTTTTACCAGTAGATGGAGGACCTGCCACTAAAACAGCACGTCCAGCAATTTTACCAGCCTGGATCATCTTCAAAATCACACCAGCAGCCTTTCTAGCCTTTAATTGGCCAACCATACCTTGTCCAGATTCCTTTGGCTGCAAGTTGTCATCTAATCCTAACCCTGAAATGTGTGAATGGGCGGCGATTAACGACAAGCCATTTAAGTCCTTACTTTGAACTTTTGTTGAAATTGTATTTGCTGACTATATGCTAGTTAGTATGCGAACTATCAATAATATTAAATGATGATTAAATACGCAGTCTTACATACCATAACGACTTCCGCTGTTTAATTACGTCTATTTCCAAAGTAATGATAGATTGAATATATCTATCAACTTTTCATGGTTTATTTGAAATCTTAAGTCTTCGTCAATGTCGTACACACAATTGCGACATTTAGAAATAATTCAAAATGCGACATTATTATGGTCTACTCTACTAAGCATTTGATGAACTTGTTATAATCTAATTTATTCAAGTCTATACGAATATAAATAAAGTAATCACAACTTAGGTCTCTTAATCAATGACCCCTCGTTGTACATAGCATCAATCTGCGGCCTGAAAAACTTGAAAGCGACAGGTCTTTTAAGTTTTTGGGTTGCCGTAACCACATCCCTGTCCAATCTCAATGGCTCAAATTCCACATAAATATTGTGAAGTTTTTCAAATCCTGATAATTGATTATTGATTCTTGAGTTAATATATGCAACCAATAATTCTCTGTTTTCCTTCTTGTTGATTTCATTTAAAATCTGCTCTGAAGAAGACAATTGACTTTTTGATACCCTACATTTATCAACCAAAAAGTTAACAGCACCTTCGGGATCAATGCCAACAATACCCACTAAGAAATGTCTCAAAGAGTCACCGTGAACGTATAATTGGTTAAGAATTGAGGATGAAGAGAGGTATTTGTTTTCAACCTTTTCTGGGGTAACGTATTCACCTTGTGATAATTTGAAGAAATTCTTCACTCTATCGATAATGAATAATCTACCCTTGTCTTTTGAGAATCTGGCTACATCACCAGTATGGAACCAGCCCTCATCGTCAAAAGACTTTTTGGTTTCTTCTTCATTATGGAAATACTGCTTGAAAATTTGTGGTCCTCTTAATAATAATTCACCTCTAGGGCCTTCTGGATCGTCTAATTTGTATCCCATTGCTGGTAATTCTTTTAATTTCATTTCTACGGTAACACCAACGGAACCACAGGAACCTGGATCGGCTTCATAAGGAATACCAATGGCAAACCCTGCAAATGATTCAGTAGAACCATAACCTTGTGGCATACCGACACAAAGTGTAGCCTTCAAGAACTTGACAGTAGAAGGAGAAATTGGTGCTGACCCAGTTACAATAAATTCCATATTGTCAAAGCCAAAAGCCTTACGTATACCGCTCAAAAATAAACGGTCATAGACGAGATGAGATCCATCTGCCCCATCATATTTTTCTTGGGCTTGGATTTTGGTATTGATAACTTTATCGAAAATACCTCTTTTAAAAGCTGAAGTGGGATGATCCACGGTGGCACTCTTTATCGCAGCCTCATATTTCGTAAATACTCTAGGTACATTACACATGTAGTTTGGCTTGAAAAGCTTCAAGTCTTCTATCAAAGTTAGTGGAGTTCCACCATTTTGAGGGAACCCAATGCAATTACCACATGATAAACCAAAAGCACAAACTTGTCTCTCAAAAATATGAGCTAACGGCAAAAATGAAAACGATCTTGCATTGGGGATACGTGGAAGCTGAGTAAGAACAAATGTAACACCCGCTGTACATATCTTTTGAGAAAGCAAGACACCCTTTGGGTTTGCACCGGTAGTACCAGAAGTAAAACTAATAGTGTACAAAGTTTCTGGGCTTGGGGGTAATTCAGGGGTTGGAAATATTTCACCTACCTTCATGACCTGATTGATATCTACCAATGTTATTCTATGGGACTTACATGCTGCGACCAATGCTTGATCTTCAGCACTCAAAGAAGTCTCATTCTTCAAGTCCAATGGATCCAAGCAAACGATAGAAATGACATGTTCCAACTTTTCAGGGTACTTTTCTTTCAAGTTGACAATGTCCATGACATGCTCTTTAGTCGCAATAACAACGGGCGATTGTGTGGTTTGTAAGATATACTCTGACGTGTCAGCCCCCAAAGTATCGTATAAAGCAGTATTAGTGATCGAGTATGAAGAGCACATAAGATCACTCAAAACCCATTCCATTCTATTGGCCGAATAGATAGTGGCCACGAAAGACATGTCAGAAATGTCAAAGTTCTTATAGTCCCTCACATGGCTGTCAATCTTCCTGTGACTCTCGAATTTTTCGCTATTTTTGAACGGATTGTTTTGCAACAAGTAAAGAAACCCTGATCCATACTTCTGCTTCATCTCATCCACTTCACGGTACGTCAAAAAGCTGTAATCATCGGCATTTTTCTTGTTCACGTAGTCATATTCTCTGTACGCCAAACACAGCTTATCCCCGAAGGTGAGAACTGCATTCTTAAAAAGCTTATAGTAAGTATTTAATTCTGGAGTAAGTGCCTCCTTTAAGTGTCCTGGAAACATCTTATTTCTGTAGATTGCACTGTATCCTTCCTTTTCGGTCCCCGGCAACGATACCGAATCCTTGAACATTTTTTCAGGCAATGGCAAATGATCTCTGATCAACTGAGAGGCCGGGGTCTTGCTAGGCTTGAAAACGTATGGTGAATCACCGTGGTCATAAACGTCTGTCGAAGTCATGGTGCTAATATATTTTGTAATTCTATGAATACTATTACACTCGATTGAGCGATTTAGAAGTATTTATATCCACTGAGTTATTGTGGGGAAGTGCGACTTACATTCGGTTATTTCAAATTATTTAGGTGAGATTTGATGCCGAAATGGGGTTACAGTAATAAACAGAGAAGTTCATTGCGATTACTATAGGATTGCGCGACCAATAAGAGCTCATCATATTATTAGAGAATCTTTTGTAAATATAGACGATCTCGCTACAAACACTTTTTGCAATAGTTCCATATGTCCGGCGTATTAACTTCGATGGAAGGTTACTATTGCAGAAAACGTTGGTCAAAAGAAATTGATGAACAATAGGTCGGTACAACGATAGATGGTGATTGCCGTAATATGGTATATGGTTAACTGTGGTATATTGGTAAATTGGTTAATGTGTATTGTTAAGTTGACAGCATATAGGAAAAATGTGGACTGACGGCATAAATTAATGCCGAGCGATGATGGTCGCTTTTTGAAAGATAGGCTGCGAAATGTGGTTTATTGTCGATATTGGTAGGCTTTGCCGTCATTTAACCTGGAATCATCTGAATTATCATATGACATCTCTCCAGTATCAAGATGTTACTGCTGGGGGACTCATTTTGCAAGAATTAGGAGATAAAGGTTGCAAATAATTGAACTATACGTCGTACGGAATAGCGATATGGTGCTGCAGAGACCACTTGTCCGATTGTTACATACACTCAAATGCTCTAATAAAACAATATGAAGAAAATATATCTTGAAAGCTAAATCAAGGTCTTCAAATTAAAAACAAAACGTCAACATTACTGTATATAGTTGTAAATAATTATAATTTAATAGGCTTTCTCAAAGAACCTTCTTTATACATATCATCAATATTCTTCGAGAAAAATCTAAAAGCAGAAGGTCTCTTAAGTTTTTGGGTTGCAGTCACAACATCTCTCTCTAACCTTAAAGGCTCAAATTCAATATAAATGTTATTAAGCCTTTCAAATCCTTGTAATTGGTCTCTGCAATTAGCGTTCATGAAGGCAAGCAATAATGTTCTGTTTTCTTTTTTATTGAGTTCTTTTAAAATCAGCTCAGGCGTAGTCAATAAGCTTCTTCTGGTATCACACTTATCTACTAAGAATTGGATTGCCCCCTCAGAGTCAATACCAACAACACCAACTAAGAAGTTTCTCGATGGATCACCATGAACATATAATTGGTTAAGCATTGATGATGAAGAAAGGTATTTGTTTTCAATCTTCTCTGGGGTAACGTATTCACCTTGCGATAATTTAAAGAAGTTTTTCACTCTATCAATAATAAATATTCTACCATGGTCCTTTGAAAATCTGGCAATATCACCAGTTGCATACCAGCCATCTTTATCAATACTCTTAGCAGTCTCTTCTTCATTCTTGTAATACTTCTTAAAAACTTGTGGTCCTCTTAATAATAATTCACCTCTAGGGCCTTCTGGATCATCTAATTTATAACCCATATCTGGTAACTCGCGTAATCTCATTTCTGTTGTAATCGAAATTGATCCACAGGTACCAGGTTCTGCTTCATAGGGGAAACTGAAAGCAATACCACCAAATGTCTCAGTGATACCATAACCTTGCAACATAGCAATATTAAGCGACGCCTTTAAAAACTTTACCGTAGAAGGCGCAATTGGGGCTGATCCAGTGATGACAAACTTCATCTCATCAAAACCGAACTCCTTACGAATACTTTCAAGAAAGAAGTTATCATAGAGCGCATGGTGGCCGTCTGCGCCATCATGGGCTTCTTGTAATTTTATCTTTTTGTCGAAAACCTTTTTGTAAACTGCCCTAGTGACTGATGATGTAGGATGATCTATAGTTTGAGCTTTAATAGCAGCTTCATATTTAGTAAAAATTCTTGGAACATTACTCATATTATTCGGCTTGAAAATCTTTAAGTCCTCCACCAATGTTAATGGCGTACCACCAATCTGCGAGAAACCCATGCATACACCCTGAGATACACCATGAGCACAATTCAATCTTTCAAAGATATGGGCTAAAGGCAAGAAAGCAAAAGTTCTTTTGTTATCCACTCTAGGAAGACCCATAAAATTGGATGTGATAGCAGCCGCTGCAATTCCATGAGTAAGCATAACACCCTTTGGTTTAGAGCCAGTGGTTCCAGAAGTAAAACTAATGGTGAATAAACTGTTTGGAGTTGGTGGTAATTCTGGGATTGGAAATGAAGCACCTAAATTAATAGCAAAGTCCAAGTCGCATAATTCTATGTTACGCTCTTGACACATACGAACCAAGCTTTGATCTTCAGCACTTAATGGTGTTTCATTCTTTAAATCCAATGGATCTAAGCAGATAATTTGAATTATATGTTCCAATTCCTGAGGCGACTTTTTCTTTAACTCGGCGATAGTCTTAATATGATTTTTCGTTGTAATAATAGCCGGGGATTCGGTATTCGACAAGATAAACTTAGAAGTGTCTGG